ATGAACTCGTTGATATGTTGTTAATTTATGGCGAATGTCTTCAAAATGCTACAGAGTGTATGCAGATCGTTTCCCTAGACGACATCATCCAAGGCCCCGCAGATTTGTGTACCTGGTCCAGAGAGTCAGGGATACGGGCCATTTGGAGGAATTTCGAGGTGGGCACAACCACGAATGGTGCAAGTTGAGGAAGAACTACTGAATCGCGTAGACGAGAATCCCTCAACAAGCACTAGAGACGTGGCTAGAGAAGTGCAAGTATCAAAAACTAAAGTGTGGCAAACGCTGCGTGAAGAGGGGCTGTATCCGTTTCACGTCGAACGTGTACAAGCCCTTCAACCTGACGATTTTCCAGCAAGAGTGCGGTTTTGTGAGTGGTTGTTGCATCAACATGACAATAATCCAGACTTTTTGAAGTGCATATTGGTGACAGACGAATCTACGTTCACGCGTAATGGGGTGAATAAATTTCGCAACACTCATGTTTGGTCAGTAGAAAATCCGCACGCTGTCCGTCGGGCACATTTTCAGCAAACATAATCGGTGAATGTTTGGGCTGGCATGGTGAACGGTATGCTCATTGGACCATTTATTCTCCCAAATCGATTGGACGGGATGCAATACCTAGACTTTTTACGTAACATTTTGCCTTCCTTGTTAGAAGATGTGCCATTAAGTGTAAGACAATAATGTGGTTTCTGCACGATGGTGCACCGCCCCATTTTAGACGCGAAGTGCGTGAGTTTTTGAATGAATTATTTCCGAATAGGTGGATCGGTCGTAATGGACCCGTAGCGTGGCCTCCGCGATCTCCAGACTTAACACCATGTGATTTTTTTCTTTGGGGAGAAATTAAACGCTTAGTGTACAAAACTGAAGTGCATACGATTGACGAACTTCGTCTCAGAATTGAACAAGCTGGTGCTTTCATTCGGGGGAGGGACTCCATTCTCAAAGCCTGCACCGATGCTTGGCTACGTCGAGCACGCACCTGTGTTTTTGAATCAAACGGCGATAACTTCGAACAATACCTATAAAGTACGTTTACCTAAAAACTGAAAACGCGGCAACGCCGTCATATTTGTTACCTCTGTTCGTGGTCTGCACCACCGCCTGCGTCTGATCGGTAGCGCATCAGCTGATTTCATTTTCTGTTGGAGCGGTATGATTTCGGGCAGAGACGTACTTAGCCCTTGTCGTCAACTGGAGAGCGAGTACTTTTTCCTTTATTTTTTTTTACTTGGTCGCCCTCGTTTCACTACACATTACCTTTGTTATTTCAAGGGTAGTTGTTTCTGAAACGGACAACCCCAACTTTGCGGACATCCCGTATTAGCTTAGCAAACAGCACATATGCTCCACCACTGGAGTGCAAGTTAAACGAAAGAATATTATCAAAAACTACCGCACAATAAAATTATTTGACCGTGATAAATAACCCCGCGAAACGTTTCCCATGGTACAGATATTTTAGCGCCTAAACCTTATCTCGGTCTTCTCTTAGTTACAGCTACGCGCAGCCGAGAGGTCCTCAGCTCACAAAAAAAACGGTGACCAGTAGTGGGCACCTCACAAGGTTGCAAAATTTAGGATATAACCATAAAAAGCCCTAGAGAGAGAAAGACTGCTTAAAAATCTATTCTCTGTTTGATACAAAACTACTCATTGAAAACACACAAACTTGAAGAAAAACCATGTACTCTTTGTATGTTCTAAAGCGGTATACCCTCAGAAATGTATCACTTGTTCTAAAATAAAGTTATGGCAGCTCAAAAATCAAACTCATGATTAACGTAATGTAATGGCCAATAGAAGGTGCCATGTAGGCACTGCCCCATATTTAAATAAGTAAAACGCCAAACAAAATGAAGTACATTCTGAAAATTTCAGTCAGCAATAGTCAAAATCTATAAAATACTTAATTAAAATATTTTATCTCTCCACATGAGGCTTTTTTTGTCAAGAGGAAGGAATGGCTTCAGGCAATATCAGCTGCAAAACAGCTACAAAGCTGGAGGAGTGTATGGTGCTTCTCCGCAATGCATTCCCACTAAAAGGTTACGTGATTTTGGCACGGGACATCGTTCGGAATAGTCGGAGTCGGCCCGCTGTTAGCAAGTCTGCGCACTCCTCACCAACCAAACTGTTTAGTTGACCCGGTGGGGGCACTAGCAACCCGACCCGACTAAGCTATCGGCCGATAGTCTGCGGGGGCCCTTAAGAAGATAATTCCCATTACCATACCAGGAGCACAGTGTCTTTTCCATACACCCTCGCGATTATGTGATCCTGATAGCACTAAAGAGTTTGTCTCGTGAAATGAATATTTATTTAAATTATGCTTTTGGATATCAGAAGAATCGGGGGACACTGCCCACTAACAGGAGAATGGAATGTCTTCAAAATGCTACAGAGTGTATGCAGATCGTTTCCCTAGACGACATCATCCAAGGCCCCGCAGATTTGTGTACCTGGTCCAGAGAGTCAGGGATACGGGCCATTTGGAGGAATTTCGAGGTGGGCACAACCACGAATGGTGCAAGTTGAGGAAGAACTACTGAATCGCGTAGACGAGAATCCCTCAACAAGCACTAGAGACGTGGCTAGAGAAGTGCAAGTATCAAAAACTAAAGTGTGGCAAACGCTGCGTGAAGAGGGGCTGTATCCGTTTCACGTCGAACGTGTACAAGCCCTTCAACCTGACGATTTTCCAGCAAGAGTGCGGTTTTGTGAGTGGTTGTTGCATCAACATGACAATAATCCAGACTTTTTGAAGTGCATATTGGTGACAGACGAATCTACGTTCACGCGTAATGGGGTGAATAACTTTCGCAACACTCATGTTTGGTCAGTAGAAAATCCGCACGCTGTCCGTCGGGCACATTTTCAGCAAACATAATCGGTGAATGTTTGGGCTGGCATGGTGAACGGTATGCTCATTGGACCATTTATTCTCCCAAATCGATTGGACGGGATGCAATACCTAGACTTTTTACGTAACATTTTGCCTTCCTTGTTAGAAGATGTGCCATTAAGTGTAAGACAATAATGTGGTTTCTGCACGATGGTGCACCGCCCCATTTTAGACGCGAAGTGCGTGAGTTTTTGAATGAATTATTTCCGAATAGGTGGATCGGTCGTAATGGACCCGTAGCGTGGCCTCCGCGATCTCCAGACTTAACACCATGTGATTTTTTTCTTTGGGGAGAAATTAAACGCTTAGTGTACAAAACTGAAGTGCATACGATTGACGAACTTCGTCTCAGAATTGAACAAGCTGGTGCTTTCATTCGGGGGAGGGACTCCATTCTCAAAGCCTGCACCGATGCTTGGCTACGTCGAGCACGCACCTGTGTTTTTGAATCAAACGGCGATAACTTCGAACAATACCTATAAAGTACGTTTACCTAAAAACTGAAAACGCGGCAACGCCGTCATATTTGTTACCTCTGTTCGTGGTCTGCACCACCGCCTGCGTCTGATCGGTAGCGCATCAGCTGATTTCATTTTCTGTTGGAGCGGTATGATTTCGGGCAGAGACGTACTTAGCCCTTGTCGTCAACTGGAGAGCGAGTACTTTTTCCTTTATTTTTTTTTACTTGGTCGCCCTCGTTTCACTACACATTACCTTTGTTATTTCAAGGGTAGTTGTTTCTGAAACGGACAACCCCAACTTTGCGGACATCCCGTATTAGCTCAGCAAACAGCACATATGCTCCACCACTGGAGTGCAAGTTAAACGAAAGAATATTATCAAAAACTACCGCACAATAAAATTATTTGACCGTGATAAATAACCCCGCGAAACGTTTCCCATGGTACAGATATTTTAGCGCCTAAACCTTATCTCGGTCTTCTCTTAGTTACAGCTACGCGCAGCCGAGAGGTCCTCAGCTCACAAAAAAAACGGTGACCAGTAGTGGGCACCTCACAAGGTTGCAAAATTTAGGATATAGCCATAAAAAACCCTAGAGAGAGAAAGACTGCTTAAAAATCTATTCTCTGTTTGATACAAAACTACTCATTGAAAACACACAAACTTGAAGAAAAACCATGTAGTCTTTGTATGTTCTAAAGCGGTATACCCTCAGAAATGTATCACTTGTTCTAAAATAAAGTTATGGCAACTCAAAAATCAAAATCATGATTAACGTAATGTAATGGCCAATAGAAGGTGCCATGTAGGCACTGCCCCATATTTAAATAAGTAAAACGCCAAACAAAATGAAGTACATTCTGAAAATTTCAGTCTGCAATAGTCAAAATCTATAAAATACTTAATTAAAATATTTTATCTCTCCACATGAGGCTTTTTTTGTCAAGAGGAAGGAATGGCTTCAGGCAATATCAGCTGCAAAACAGCTACAAAGCTGGAGGAGTGTATGGTGCTTCTCCGCAATGCATTCCCACTAAAAGGTTACGTGATTTTGGCACGGGACATCGTTCGGAATAGTCGGAGTCGGCCCGCTGTTAGCAAGTCTGCGCACTCCTCACCAACCAAACTGTTTAGTTGACTCGGTGGGGGCACTAGCAACCCGACCGACTAATCTATCGGCCGATAGTCTGCGGGGGCCCTTAAGAAGATAATTCCCATTACCATACCAGGAGCACAGTGTCTTTTCAATACACCCTCGCGATTATGTGATCCTGATAGCACTAAAGAGTTTGTCTCGTGAAATGAATATTTATTTAAATTATGCTTTTGGATATCAGAAGAATCGGGGGACACTGCCCACTAACAGGAGAATGGAACGTTTTCTATACCTCTTTACGTTTCTGTTATCCTGATATAAAATTTGTATCACAACAATTTCTCGTGAAATGAGATTTTAAAATTATGTATCTCTATAAGTATATTGATTTTTACTACTCGTTTACACGATGTTTTATAACTCCCTTTACTTACCATTTTTATATCTCCTCAAGAAGGATTATATCCAGGATTTTTCCAGTCAGAAAATATGTTTGTGGCGTTATGTGGGTAGGATAATAATAAAGACTTTGTTAAAATAATAAACAAACTTTTATTCTTTGAAACTATCACACAAACATGTGCAACACAAATATGTGTAAAGTGTATCTTCAAAATATCTAAAATAATGTACGAAAATGTGATAGAAGGAATAGTATTTCTTTTTTCTAGAAAAAGAAACCATTCACGGGCATATAAAAGGCGTCAAAGGAGAAAAAAGGTATACACAAAAACTAATTACACTACAATCATTTTAGGCTCTAACAAAAAGGACAATTGTAAATCACTATGCACAATACACCAGTATAAAAATAAAAATTGTACAATCAGACCTCTCGAATGTAATTCAAAATAAAAATTCGGTTAATACGAAAATATATATTCATCAGTAGACCTCATTTTCAAGTTACTGTAGAAAATCACTAGTGATATTATTGATACACATATAGTCAAGATAAAATGAATTTGGTCTGTATTTGATGATCTTTTTTAAATGAATTTAAATGTATATATTATAACCTTACTATTGTTACATTTAATACCTCTAAACACACATTCTAACATTATTGCCACTAGTAATTCTTATATTTTATGAATAATCTTGGAACCTAACTTCGATAAATAATAGTTATCTATTGGAGTTAAGTCGTTTAGTATTATGAAAAGGGGATTAACAGTTATTGTCAACCCTGTGTATTTACGTCGAAGATGTCAAGAATTTGTAAAATCCCTCTTGATATTCATAATTCGGAAATAAAGCTAGTGATTATTAGTGTATAAAGTTTAATAAAAATAAAATTTAAATTCAACTGTGACCTTAGCTACCGAAATATATAAACCAAAATACCTTTTGAATTTTAGGTTCAGATTTGTGATTTGAGATTATAAACTTCAAGTGTAGATTTTCAGATTGTATTTATACAAATATTAATGATGGTCAGAAATATTGAGAAGTTCAATAGATTCAGCAGCTCAAGGTTTTATGGATGGAGTGCCCAGGTTTTCAACAATAGAGCATACACACTGCCTCAACAAATTGAAGTGGAATATTTTTGATCAGCACTTTATACAATTGATTAGCAGTAATTGTTTGAAAAATATTGGAGGCTTTAACTGTTTTAAAAGATCATACTAAATCAGAATAAAATGGGTTTTGAGACAGTGCATGCATGAACCTGTTCTGAAACTACGTTCAGTTCACTTTATATGCAGGATCATTTTTGAAAAGATAATGTACCATTACTCCATTATTACAAAGCAATGAGTCAACGTTATACTATAATATCCTCAATTATGCATGATTTGAAAGTATATGCATTTCTTGCTTAAAATTAAAATGTATACTCACTTAAAAAATACAGTGTGGAATTTCCCTACGAAATACAATCAAAACTGTTGAATTCAAAATGGAATGAAAGAATGAAAAAAATACAATAATTTTGTTATTTTAGATTTTCCATATTTCCAGAGATCAAAAGTGGAAACTAATAATTTAAATGCACAATAACTACATGACATACAAAAACGGTTTATACAGTAGAAAAAAGCAATTAGGTTGAAATGCAAATGATTGTGGTTACAACTGAAAAATATATTGGATGTTGAGATATTTAAAAAATCCACAATACACCAATACCTAAAAAGTCATTGTATCAGTTTAGCTAGAAAGTAATAGTCAGCTAGTTACATTGAATCTGTAGAATTTATTCAACTTGTAATGCTAGTCTTTCACATAGTTGGTCAGCTTTAAAGTAGATTTTTGTCATTCGTTTCAATCTTTAGTACTTCAACCAAATTTCTTAAAAGGTACAGGCAATATATTAGAATCTTTCTGCCATCAACTTACCGCTACATAAAAAGTAAAAGTCTTGATAATGCCATCAGAGAAATGACAATATTAGTGAAAGTATCAACCCATGCCTTTTAAATAATTACACTTTTCTAGTTGACAGATACTATCAATCATGTCTATGTAAGATAAATAATGATCCTTAATCAGAATGACTCAAGTGGCGCTAAGGTTGACACAAGTTAGGTAGCAAATTCTTGATGGTTACTAATAAAATAGATTCTACCTGCTTAGTTGATACTTCCACTATCGAAGCAGTGTAACTTGACAATTTTATTGTCAGCTGTGAAAAAATTACTTTTTACTGGACGACGAACCAGATCCAGAGGTGCAAATTATGGCCAAACCAGCAGATAGTACGGACCAGAAAAGCAGCGTTGCTTCCAGATGGTTGGTGACGTATCTGTAGAAGATCATAGAGTGTTGTAGAATCGTCTCAGTAGTGAGTGTTGATATTCATGGTTTTTTGTTTATTTAATGATACCGGATTATGTTTTTAAGTGAAATTTATCAATGGACAGCATATTTAATTTTAATGATTTCTATTCTTCTGTTTATATGTCACATGATACACAGACCACGTGCACTTAAAATTTCCAGGATTATAACTGACATTCGAAAATGCTGTTTCATTTATCTCGAGGATTAGCAAGTAAACAATCTTCATGGAAGAATTATGGTCTTTAGGGGAGACTACAATATATCATGAATTTTATAAACAAATTATATATTTATGAGTTAAATATTTCGGTAAAATTTCATCCAAATCAGTCTTCATCAATGATTCCCAAAGTGGTCCACGGAAGTCTCAACGGGTGTCTCCGTTGGCGTGAAAAAAAGGGGGATTCCCAAGATGAAAGTGGGGGGTTCACGAGTTCACGAAAATTGATCTCGCTTCGATAGTAAGCAACAAAAATGCTTGTATATTCGATATGCGGTTTCCAAACCTGTTAGTCAAAATATCATGATGAGGATACTCAAACATATGTTCAACATTTAAATGTCCTCCACGATGACTTTAAGAACATATTTGACGATATTATGACGATGGAAATACCATCATGAATCATAAACCCATTTGATGAAATGAAAGTCGCAAATGTGATATGACAAGATACTCAAGCTTAGTACTAATGAGGAGCTCAATGTGAATTTAAAAAAGGCTATCAACAAATACAAAACTTAAGCCAAATATTCCTAATTTGCAGTCAATCTATCAATACATCTCTCCCATTAACATTCTGATTTATTATACTAATTTGTATTGCGCAAGAAGTTACGACTAACTCCATTAATTTTATTACTATTAAACTTTCACTCATGCTATTTTAATAAACAGAATATAAGAAAATATTTTTCTATTTACTTTTACCACTATGAAAATTTGCATCATTAGATCTAATCTCCACACTTCTTGACCGGTGGTCTATGAGAAAAAAGTTTGGGAACCAGTGATCTTCATAAGGTAAAAAAGTAGAAATAACACGCCAGAGTGACACTAGAGGTAGATTGGCTTCAGATTAATAAGATAAAATCAACATGACCTTAGTAAAAGTTTTCTAGTTTTCAAGATATTGCCACTTTTAGGTTTCTTCAGGCTCTATTGCCTGTTATGGCTATTAAGAACTTCTAACTTATGAGTTTTTTACTGGGCTACCATTAATAGTCGGTTGAGACAACTGAGTATTCATTTCATTGAAAACCAGCACAGTCTGCTAAAAAAATTAATACATTTTGTTTTAATGTGAAAACCTTTACTAAAGTTTGACTAATTATTGTGAAAAAAATGTACCAGACTGAATCGGCAAATGATCTTAAAAACTCGCCTATTTAATGCTCTTTTAAATATAGTATAACACTTGTAGGTTCTTTTTCCTAAAAATTGAATAACCCCAAGTGTTGTCATTGAAGTCGTAGTACTAATATAATAATAAGTGCAGCAGTCTTTTGTATCCAAATCACTAAGGAATCAACAAATCATTGTTACTTGTCTTAGGACCGGAACGTACAACACGACCGCAGAGCGGTTATTATCACAGTATTGTACGAACCTATAAGTTTTATTGTTTTCTGCTGTTTAGTTGGTTTCTGTCACGTGTACAGTACAGTCAAGTATTTAGGTAGATTTTTATATAAATTGGTATCGTCGATGTTGCAAAAATCCATCCGATAGGTTTTGTTACATATGTGGACGATTCATTATAAAGTCCCAAGCTATATCTATATCTGAGGAAGTTAAACAAGCCTATGTTTTATATTTTAAGTGCCAAATTGGGGATCAAGATAAAAGCTGGGCTGCTCATGTTTGTTGTGTGAGTGGTCACGTAAATTTAGTGCAGTGGATGTATCGCAAGAAAAATTATACGCCGTTTGCTGTTCCTATGGTGACTACAGAACCCGCTGACCATGTAAGTGATTGCTACTTTTGCATCACTAAAACAGAAGGTATTTCAAAAAAGCATAAAGACAAAATAGAGTATCCAAATTTGCTTCTGCGCGAAAGCCAGTTCCTCATTGTCAGGAAATACCGGTACCGATAGCGCCTTTAAACCGGGACATCGTGACTCCCGCTAATTCTTCATCAGAATCTGATCCACAACTTCCTGAGAACAGCAGTTGTGACCCAACATTTTTACCAACTGCTATTCAGAATGATTTAAGTGACTTGGTACGTGACCTAGGATTGTCAAAACAAAAATCGGATCTTATTATCCAGACTTCAACAGTGGAACTTGTAAGATAAAAAAGCAAAGTGATTCATTTTAAAGAAAACGGAATGTAACATCATCATGTTTTTTTTTAAAATGGAAGGGTCGCTATGCGTCTGTTGTGATATTGATGGTTTAATGAATGAACTTAATACGGAACATGATCCTAGCGAGTGGAGTTTATTCATTCGTCGAAATACAACCTAAAAGCTGTCCTGCTTCATAATGGAAACAAAAAACCATCTATTTTTTTAGTCCATTCAGTAACAATGAAAGAAGCCTATGACAACTTAGCAACCATATTAAATCGTGTTAAATATGAGCAGTATCAGTGGGATATCTGTGGAGATTTAAAAGTCATAGGTATATTGCTAGGACTTCAAAGGGGTTTACAAAGTATTGCTGTTTTTTTGCGGCTATGGGACAATAGGGCAACAAAAGAACACTACAGTAAAAAGGATTGACCCCAAAGAACGTCTTTTGAACCTGGTACTTCAAACATTAAATATACCCCCTTGTTAACTCAAAAGCGGTGCTGCTACCACCTCTCCATATTAAGCTTGGACTAATGAAAAACTCTGCCAAAGCCATGGATAAAGAAGGTAGTTTCCAGTGCCTAAGAGAAATATTTCCTCAACTAAGTGATGCAAAATTAAAAGGAAGCATATTTATTGGACCTCAGATAAGGAAGCCCCTAGATAATCTCCGTTTACAAGAACAATTAAATAAAAAGGAATTGGCAGCTTGGATTTTTGCGTAACAAGAAAGATGAAGACTATAAAAGCCTCATAGATGAACTGTTAAAAACCTATGAATTACTAGGATGTCGCATGTCTCAAAAAATACATTTTTTGCACTCCACTTTAGAATTTTTCCCGGAAAATTTAGGTGCAGTAAGCGACGAACAAGGAGAGAGGTTTCACCAGGACATCAGGACGATGGAAACAAGATACCAGGGATGCTGAAACCCTTCTATGTTGGGCGACTACTGTTGATTTTTAAAAAGGGATGATGCTACATAACACAAAAGGAAAAAGGAACGTTTTTGTCGCTGTATCATATATTATGCAATATATTTTTTATTCACATAACAACCAATACTCAGTAATGTTTCTGCACAGATTCCATATGTTTTATATGTTTATATCAAATAAATATATGATATTGTAAAAATATGTCGTCTCCTCTTTTTCTCCTTATAATAAAATACTTCGGACAAACCTATTTTCATCAATGTTACTTTACATTTAAATTGCTTAAAGTTTAAGCTTATATACTTATATACCACTAGATATATACGTAAAAGAGCACCAAATGTAAAAATATTTAAGAGCAAATTAAGGACTTTATATTTCAGATCCAAGTGATGTGTGATTTTTATGTTCATGTTATAAACACCGATTCTATTCCAGTCTATACTTAACCTTGGCGGTTAATGCAAATGGAAAACGTGTTAGTCTTAACTTAGTTGCTCGAGTATCTGCGATCCGACAAATTGACGATTTTTGCACTGGTTGAAGTAACAACTAGTTAAATGCTGATTTTTCAAAAAATGTTGACATGAAAACAAGAATTTACCTCAAAGTTTGCAAAATGCTTGCAAAACCTCATAATCTATGCGAAAGAAAAACCCGCGATGCCGGCATATTTCAAGGTTCTGCGATAAGTGGTTTCGATGTTAAAATAAATCATTTTGACATACCTGATGGTGTCCAAAGATTGTTTCCAGATAGGGTTGATTGCTTGCTTGGGCGCAGTCGGTAGTAAGTTTCTCGCTTTCAGGAAGTCGATCAGCATTGGAGAGTCCTTGGAGAGAGCAGGGAAGTACTCACGAACTTTCTCGCGGATCCACCACGCCGAACTAGACCTGAAAATAAAACACGTGGCACTTTAAAGTCACAAAAAATAAGATCCTTCAATTTGTTTAAACTTTATTTTTGAAGGATGAATATGTATGAAAAAATGACAATCTACACGAAGCTACCTTCAATTACAATATCTCAAATTAAAAAAATATATGTTTAATACAGTATTTTTCTAACAGATATCCACAAATGAAATGCTTACTTTTGGTTCCACGATGTATACTTGTATTTATAAAGTGTCGCCCTGACAAACTTGGGTGGTTTCTGGGGGAATGGTAAATGGTGATGGTCCAGAAGAACCAAAACCTCCTGTTTGCCAGTCAGAATTCTGTGTGCCATTGATAGTAACCATGGGTTCTTGTCGTATGTACTGTAGGCTGCCCAGTACATGTACCAGTCCAGTTTTGGAGCATAAGGGGCTAGGAAAAAGATTACAGATTTTTTAAGTCAATCAAAAAGTTAGGAGAGATATATTTTAGATATTAATATATTGTAACATCTGAAACTTATCCTATGATTTACATGCCGATAATCTCCCTTGACTAGCCAATAACACCACATGTATTGACTGATCTTTACTGTGTTAAACGTTTCAATCACAAAGGTGATCTTCAGTACAGAGACATACAGTAATAGACAAATTAATATTGTGCTGTATTTCTTTTTTAACTTGTTTTATTAATACACCAACCTGTATACATAATTCGTTATAGCATAATACTCACTTATACATAAATAAATTCATTGAAAAATACTGGAACTATGAAGGACAAAAATATATAGACAAAGTAAAACAATTATAGGAAAAAGAAGCAAAGTTCATTGAATTATAGGATATCAACCATGTTTGTGTTAATATTTTGTAGCATAACCATTATTATCAATCACCGCCTGGCATCGTCTCGGCATAGGTTGTAGAAGTTTCTTGATATAATATTCATCAATCTGACTCCCTTTTGCTCTAAAGCGGAAAAAAGTTCATCCTTGTTTGAATAATTTTTATCTCGTATTTGCTTATCTAAGTATTCCCATAGATTTTCAATGGGGTTTATATCGGGAGACTGTGAAGGCCATTTGAGAACTGGTATTTTTTCATCCAGAAAGAATTTCTTTGCGAGATTTGAAGTGTTCTTCGGGTCATTATCTTCCATATAGGGTAACATGATATGCTTTAGTACGTCTGTTTATAAAAACTTATCCATAATGCCATCTATTCTATGTAAAGGTCCCATCCCAAACCCCGACAAGCACCCCCAAACCATAACAGACCCGCCTCCAGTTTTACAGTGAGCAAAGTGTACTTGGGGTTCAAACGTTGTCCACTAGGACGTCTAACGTAATGAACACCATCTGATCCAAACATATTGAACTTAGATTCATCACTGAAGCATACTCTCTTCCAGTCACAGATGTTCCAGTCAAGATGCAACCGTGCAAATTGTAATCGGTCCTTACGGTTTTTCCTCGAGATTAGCGGCTTCTTACTCGGGCGACATGCAAATAACTTCCAATCATTTAATCTTCTACTTATAGTTTTTGTAGAAACACTGGCAATTTATTTTGTCTGGATTTCGGTTTTTATTTGTCTTGGGGTTTTAAACGGTTCTTTGGACGAAATTACTTTTATTAATCTAACTGATCTAGCATTTAGTTTTCTAGGCCGCCCACTTCTCTTAGAGGCTTCCAAGATACCATTTTGCTAATATTTGTTCAATATTGCCCAAACTGCTTTACGCTTCAGCTTTAAATTTTTGGCAATGTCGACTTGACGTTGACCATCTTTGTATAACTCAATGATCTTAGTTTTCCAAACTAATGTTGGAAAGAATTTATCTACACATTTCTGTCCCTAATAAAAAAGTGCTGATATTCAGACTTGTCTTGTGTTCATTGCAGATAATATAAAAACAAGGAATTTAGTGTTTCTACTAATAACGCATTTATTTATGGAGCAATGAAGTATGAATTCGTTTTCTAAAGGTATTTAGGTAAATATTCATATTTGTCTATATACTATTGTACATTACTCTATATTTGATTTATCAGTCTTCCGGTTGATAGTTCGTTTGATTTTTCTTTTTGATGTTTTCGGGAGGATGGACGAAGATGACGTATCTGGTACATAAAAAATGGCAGATAGCCTCGAACTCACTTGTCGTTTTGGAAGGCTGACCGTCCTTTCTTGGGAACGCTAATGCCTACCCCAGGCGGTCCTGGGTTATGCTGGTTTTGCGTGGTGCCATCTTAAAATTCGGAATGATGATTTCGCGCAATCGCAGCATGTTACGGAACTTTCAGACTATTGTAGTAACACACTGAATATGAATGTGATAAGGCAAAGAAAAAACAAACAAACTGTCACCTGGAAGACAGATATATCAAATATATATGTCATTGTACTGAATAAGATGTCCGTTGTGATTCAAAAGTTTACTACAGTGTAAAAGATCTGTCAATACAACAGGTTTTATCGGCCAGACAAGCATGAGCGATTACTAATATATTGATTTCAGAAAGTGTGGGATGTAAAAAAGTTCAGAAGGGAGATATGTTGTAGGTGCTACATGGTAAGTGTAGAGTTAAAGGGTACCCAACAGGTACATCGAGATTTTGTTTAAAAAAAAATTTAAATTATATATGTGGGTTTTATTTTATAAATTATATTGGACTAAAGTTTTTAGTAATCCTTTGGCACAATTGCGGCTCAATTCACCAACGAATTGAGAAATGTTTTGCAATACATAAATAAACGGCTACTATCGAAAAAACATCATTGAGAAAAATCCACAAAAATATTCTTCTAATGACCCTTATTTACACGAATTACTTTTTGATAGTCGGATGAGGGTATAAGGAAACGCAGTTTTGAATTATAAGTTGCTGACGTGGAAAGTATAGGTGATAAATCTGACGATCGCCACCTATCCATGAGTTGCCAATCTGATCTGCCTCCACCCATACGATGAAGATGACAGAAGATCTGGCTCATAACTGCACGTTCTGTGGTGGTATGGTTTTCTGTGCATACATATATGCACAAAATAGGCACGGCAGATATGAGCCAGAGACGTAGGGGTTTTCTGCCATCTTCGTGTTTGGGAAGACGATGGAGATCATCTCGGCAAACCATTGGTAACCATGGACATCTGGTGATCATCAGAATTCGCACCTACTTTCAGACAGTTTTTCAAATGACCATACCCACTTATTAGCTTTCTGTTCGTCTGTCTCCAGGACTACTAGACATATACCGCCCTGATGAGTTGTCAATGAGCACAAAACAGCGTTGTCTGAGGTTGACCATGGTTACAGAGACAGAAAGCCAACATTTCAACCTATTAAGTTTAATTAGACGACCACACATTCAGAATAAGAGGATGCCTCAAGAAAGAAAAATATCTTCCAAATGCAACTTTGAAACCGAAACTGTTTCTTCAGACCCACATCCAATTAGCAACAAACAACTCACATAAAAATGTCAAGCAGGGTTATGAAGCCTTTAAACGGGCAATATATATGTTACTTCGTTATCTAGCCAGGAACATCGGCAGTATTTTTGGTATGGAGCCCATGGAACCCATATAAAATCGGCAATATGTCAGCTAGTGTGCCGCTATTTCACTCCGCGCCTACTACAATGGAGCATGAAGAGAATGTCAGCTAGTTCAAATGTGACATTTTATAGGAAAACCTATATGTCATTAAAAATCGAAGCCACTTCATTGCTTAATATGCTATATTGCTACTAACAGATGTGTTGTCAGATTGCCGCAAGATCGGATAATAAGCGAAAATATTTTGCAATATTGCAGGTTTCAATGTTTTTATTTGCTAATGTTTTACGGATTTGAAGATATCCGACATACTATTTTGTATACTATGAATAACAATTATTGGACCAACGAACGCATCATTGACAATATAAATGAAATTCATGTACGCTCAAGACTATGGAAGGTTGAGTTAGGGATAAAGACTGAATTGCAAAGAAAAACGGATTGGCCTTAATCATAAAAAAATTAATATATCTGTTAAAGAAGCATACAAGAAATTTGCAGGTTAAAACGTTTTGCTTTTTGATGCCATCTGATTTGTACTCATTCAAGATACTAGAAACGTAGAATTAGACGGTGAACGAGCAATATCTTCGTTTTGTATTTGATCTATTGTATGAACTTATAAATAATTTAGACACATACTATAAATAATTCAGACACCTACCGATTTTTTACTAGGCATATACCCTTGTTATAGTATTTTATAAGAGATTGATGATTTTGACCTCTCTCTGTCACGTGTATGTGTCTATACGTTGCAGGCAATATTGTTAAGATATAGACGAGATATAGCTGACACAAGCTACAATGGTTGCAATAGTTATAACATTTTGATAAATATATTGCCGATTTAGAGACCACATTAAAGGATATAATGTATTATCCAATTAGAGGCCACTAAAAGTCTATATTTGTGGTAACGCTCGCCGCGAACATCACATAAAGCTTCGTGAAAAAATGAGGGTAAAATTTCATGTTTCTTAGTGCATTTGCAAACTTCTGATAGGATCCTACGGCGTAAAACGGTCCACAATTATTGAATCCCCGGGTCGCTAAATAACACGTACCAACAAAAAATATGCAAGCCAAGTCATTGAAAAATGACACCAAAAAACACCGCAGTTTTCTGATGGAATTTTGCATACATCAAGAAATCCTTCCCCGACCTCTTACGTACCCAGAAGTCCCCCAAGTAGAAGCTATTGATAGACAAGGGAGGACAGCATAAGTTTTAAAGTAACATCGGAGAAGACATACTATTGTTAGGATTTCTCCCAAATTGACTAATGGTGACCAAAAATTTGAACTTGCCAGTGACCTTGAAGGTTACTCATATGGTCAAGGTCAGGTAATTTTTAAAAGTGGTACATTCTACTCTTCACCAGCATCGTAAAAACTCTACTTTCATGTAGCCCATTAGCATTTACGAAACGCAACATCTGAAGATCATAATCGGAAAACCCCTCCCCGACCCCCTATAGAACCCTGATTTCCCCGAATCAGGGTGTGTTAATAGATGTAGGATATTATTATAACTTGGTAATGCTGAGAGAAGTAAAACATACTGTTGTCAAGATTTATTCCGAACTGGCCAATGCTGAACGTGTATTTGACCTTGCCCGTGATCTTGAAGGTTACGGTTAAGGTCAAGTAATTTTTTTTTAATTGGGAAATCCTTTTTGACAGTAACGTGACTAATTTTGACGGACTGACCGCTAATGAATCAATGTTAAATTACATACTAGCAGCTGCTAATCTTGAAGTTCAAGATGGGGTTGGAATATTAAATGACTAAAGAGAAAACCGTTGTGATAGGATTAGAGAAGAGGTGGTATATGGAGAACAGTAAGCTTTAGTTCTTCTCTGTCAACATTGGGAGGCTTCTGGTTTCTATATGAGGGGTTTCCTGGCCATTACCAATGTAGTGTTTACATGAAAGATTTTTCACAGTGTTCATTTTGGTTGTGAAAATTAAGATGCACCACTTAAAAATGTACCTGCCCTTGACCATAACCTCCAAGTTCACTGTCAGGTCAAATCCATGGTCACAATTGGCCGGTCTGGAAGAAATCTTAACAGTAACTACAGTATGTTGAATTTCTTCTCTGATATTACTTTAAAAATTATGTTGCTCTCCCATATCTATAAATAACCCCCACTTGGTAGATTTCTGAGTTCCGTAGGGTGATGGGATTAGATTTCAGGGGGTAGGCCCCATTACAACTTTTGATCACCATGTTGAAAACTACATGTATACAAAATTTAGCCGAAAGTCATTTTCCATAAAAAACTGCGAGGTGTTTTAAACCCTGAACTGCATATTGGGATTTCCTTAAAAAAAGCTTTGGTTTTCATCAAAAAAATCATATGAGTGTCGTCCACTTCACTACCCCTCTTCTACTTAATACTTACCAACAAATGGCATAGAATGATTAACATTTCCTGGTTTATACAAAAAGTTGTACTCCTTCCATGGTCCTTCCACATTGTCTGCTCCTTCCAGAATGATTTCAGGTCTTCCATCTACTCCAGTCATTTTGGGGAAGAGGCCATATTGGTTCAAAGCATGAATCTTGTGGAGTCTATTGTAAACTGTCCTCACATTTGGTTGCATGGTCGAGTTTGAAGCTGGGTGAAGAGATGCCAAAGGTACCTGAATTAAACAGATTTCATAATGAGAAGCAGCATTTTCATAAAAGGAATAAATATGCTCATCTTGACAAGGTACAAACATCGGCTTCATTGCAATAACAATTTTGTGACTTTTTCATGTGAAAAACGATTAATAATATTTTTAGATTCTTTGCTCATTTGAAACAAAAAATTCATAGCAGCTATTCTCTAAAGGATTTTGTTTCTTAAGTATAGCCAAAAACACGCTAAAAATGGCGGCAGGTAGGTTGACTCTGCATTTCCAACGCAATACTGTTATCAGTTCATAAAGGATTATGCTCAGCACAATTTAGACCCCCTAAGAAAAACGTTAGTTTCGATCGTGTAACAGGGAAATCGGTCAAATAGGCCCATACAATTAGTCCACAGACATTCTTTTCGTGTCATACCGGTAGTACCGTCCACCTGGCAACGTCGCACCTCCCCCATCTGACTTGCGAGCGCCGCAGTAACGGCAGGACACTCATCGAGACAAGGATGCCCGCTGGTGAACCCAGAGAGCAGAAACAGTAACATAAAAAAATTGAGATATACCGTCCCCCATCACCTAATTACAAATGTTTATCTAAAACGTCAAATAACGAAGTTTAAGCAGTTTCTATTTATTTATTTTTTTAGCTCCGCCACCACTAGACCGATTTTCAAAAACTACAAAGGTTCTTCATCTTTGACATAGTAGTAACTTTGTGTGAAAAGTTAATCTAAAACGAAGCTGTAATTCCGAAGTTATCGACGAGACAAGGATTAGCAGACAGGCAGACGGATGAGTGACATGATTTCTCGTGATGACCATGTCATTTAATAAAACAATATCTCATTTTCGAAGAAGAAAATGATTTTTCTATTTTCAACCAGTTTGCGGGATGTTTTGATTAACAAATTTTGCTCCTTTGATTTCTTTCAATTTTTGATCAATTGGTCTGTAGAAACCGTACAACGGATCGATCTGCAGTCGTTCAGGGTTATTAGGGGTACAATGGGGTATAAAAAAAACATTAGCCTTCTCATTAGCAGTTAGACCATTTTTCACCGAAATACAACTTGTCAAAGATCACCGAAAACTTTGGTTTATGTTCCCTTATTTTTTTTTAGTAGTTCAATATATTACATTACAGATTGAGGAATAAGCTATTACTGGTCGAACAGCAGTATTCTGAAACGTCTAGCAGCCTAGTGTCAAACTGGCAAACTCAAATGAATGCAATACAATGCAGATTTGGACTAAGCATTAAAAGCAGTTTTTCAATACAGTTCAGATTGTTGAAATACTCAAGAAGGGTAACATGACGAGCTTTACTAAATATGAGTAATTTATAACTTTTTCCCAAGTATTAAGGAATATACCAAGTGACAAACTTGTAAACATATTTGCAATCATGGAAGTATATGCTGATAAAATATTGAGTCATACTTTTTGTATTAACATGTTTACTTAATATACAGTGATCTTTCCGTGTTGATTCCATTTTTCATTTTCATTGTTGTTTCACTGCAATATCATGCCTAGAGTTCGGACACGCGCTAATTTCACTCAACTTTCCAATATTCTATCGAACGGCATATTCATCGCACTGTGGGTGTTACGTCACCAGGTCACGATTAGTGTTTATTCAAGGTATGATGACTGCCCAGCGCTATATATGGGCATATATGGGTGACTTTGAAGTTGAGTCATTAATTTTCAGATAATGATTGTAGAAGCAAGATAAACCAAAATATGTGTGTAAAAATAGAAAAAATCCTCCCGACAAGTATTTCAGTGCGGACCTGTATTTGATCGTGCGGTCTTGGAGCACCGGCATGCCCTCCCCTGTGAGGTCTTAAGTCACCTGATTCACGAGCCCTTTGTACTACATGAACAAAGGCACGAGGGGTTGGTTGCACTCGATTGGGAAACCGATCCGCATAAACCCGTGATGCCGCGGCAGCATTTTGTAAAGACTCCCCCCCCGTAAATAAGAATCATGTCCACAAGTTCAGCATTTTCGTAAACATGTGCCATTTTTTATTTCGTTTGAGCCAGGCAACAAACACCACTATTCACTCACGCGTTACCGACTGACACATTGACTGAATACAACTGAATAAAATTGTAGTAAAAACATCGTGATAAGCGTTTCAAATTCTTTCGCTTTTTTGTTTCCGATGCGATGAACCGATAAGGCGGATTATATCCGTTGTTGCCAAGCACGAACACATAATATTATTATTGAGAAAGGGCGGTACTCAAACTTCTAAAGGGCTATAACTTTGTTTCTTTAATTTTACCAGAAAAATGTTAAAGGAAAAAAACATTTCTTTTGATCAGATATACTCACTGTTAAAATAAATGACTCAACTTCGAAGTCACCCTGTACGAAGTTTTACAACCACATCTGCTTCCCTTTTTGGAAATACTGCAAGATCCACCTTTTCATGACGCATATGTTAGTTTAGACTTTTTATAAGCATCCGGAGTAAATCTGCTTCAGTGGCCTCCCGGATCTCCAGACCTTTCCCCCAACGAACATGTATGGGACACGATGGGAAGAAGGTTGCAAAATTCATCGCACCCTCCACAAACATTGGAGGCTCTACCAAACCAAATTCAGATGGCCTGGGATACGATACACTAAGAAGACATCAATCACCTAATCCAATCAATGCTGCGACAACTTAACGAGTGTGTCACGATCAGAGGAGCTTCAACACGTTATTTACATTATTTATCAGTACACCTAAAACTTGTAAAAGTATGAGCAAAATTACAGCACTCATAGTCGGTATTGCATTTTCTATGTCAAACTGACAATGAAGTTAGGATATAATTTCAAATCACATTATTTTATTATTCTAGGTGTTTTTTGTTATCATGATTTACCTAGGGAGAGAAAAGACTCCTCAGTTGAACATTGTCGTCAAATAAGGATTTGTCCAGTAGGACGCAAAAAAAAATACTATTGGAGTTAAAACATACGAGATACCTAACACGAAAATATGAAGTTTGCTTAGAAAACATGTTGATATTTACATGGTGGCATCTTATCAAAATTATGAGAAAATCTGTTTGCAACGAAGCCTTGTCTAACCATTGATTGGTTAAATTTGTCTGAAAACTACTTACTGTGCTTGCCATGAACAAAATCACAGCAGCAAAAGCGCAAATCAGAGTAGATATGACGCCGATTAGTTTGTTTCCAGACCCAGAATTGTCAAACACCACATGAGACAAGGCATAAAGAATAGTTCCAGCTAAAGAGACCAATCCCAGATGTACTGTGTACGTTAATCCTTGGGAGAGGATGTTGTCAAACTGGCTCTTAGTAAATGCTGAAATATTGAAAATAGTAATGTAATTTGTAAGAATATATGTGTACATGTATTATATTTAGCTCAGTTATTCAATATTAGTCACTTCTGATAGAGATCTGAATGCAGAATTATAAAAGGAAAAATCCAATTTCAAATGTTTACTTTCACTCTGCTGGACTTCAAAGAGTCAAAAATGACATGACAGTTTGAAAAGGCCTTTAGTGCTTTAGAGTGGCGTTTTGCGTCAGAATTTTGAGTTACAGATTTCCTATCCGATTTTTTTAACTATTCTTGGATCTCAAAAAATTTCTCTAGAGTCCAGCAGATATCTTTGGTAATAAGCTTACCAATGTTTGTATCGATCTGGGTTCCATTTATCTTCATAGAATAAAGATGAACAATGCCATAGAAAACAGCCGCATGTAAGAGTACATTCACAATGTTTCCAACTACTGACCATTTGCTGATGGACTTCTTCCTACCATAGAAGAATTGGTCGTCCAACAGTGACAATGTTAGAGTGACGATCAGCAAACTTAAATAGTCATAATTTCCTGTCAGCACTATGCATATTTGCAGGAATAACTGAAAAAAGATGATGGCAATAGCTTAAAATACATGGTACAGAAAATACCCTCGCATCTGTTCGGAAAAATAATCTGAATCAGATTTTTTTTGTAGTTGCCAGTCCCAAAATTGCGTCAAACCTTGGATAAACAATTTTTTCAACTTAATTTTTTTTTCGCCCAGATACAGGTTCTTTAGGTTTTTAGGTCATTCTGAACAAACAAGGCTCTTATAAACCTCCCTGTGAAAAAATTAAGAACTTTTGAGATACAAGCGATATTAGTATTTGAAGATCTGCGTAATGCGCCATTTTCAACCCCAAAAAAAATAGGAACAAGCTTAAATTTTAATGTTGCCAAAGTTCCTAAATATTCTTCAAACCATTTTAGTGGGCATTCTTATTGTATACCTTTGTTTTTTATTGTTATTACCACAAATATCATTGTTTTTTTTTTGACAGCAAGACATAAACGCCACTTTTATTAATTCGTGAATGTATTTATTAAAGTCACAATAAATGTTCAAGCTGCCTTGCTTCAGCAGCAAGCTTGACATCTTTTTCTCTTAAAATCGCGAATCTTCCCGGTGAATCTCGAACATTGTTTGACAAAACTCAACTCTTGGAAGATAATTCCGGGGTTGTAGAGATTGTATTAGCTGTACGTGGTACGAGTAGAGCTCGTTTTGTCGCAAGATTCGGTGTGCTGTACTTTTAGGCACTCCCTTGCTTGCTTCTATTTGACGTACTAAAGTAAGCAGTACCTCTGACGACAAATCCCATCTGCAGCACTAGCATTAAATCTACGTTTCCCATAAATGAGGTGCATGTTAGCGCATTCCTATACTGCGTACACAGACACGGTGGCACTACAGAATCGTAAATTAATAAAATTGGCGTTACTGTCTTGCTGTCACTACGTGGAATGATACTGCCCATCACTCCGTCTAAGAAAAAATTGAAATTTGTAGCAATGGGAACTAAAAAATCATCACATAGTATACATTTTTCCGATTTTTTTTGAACCTATAATTTGGAAAGTATACGACTTAGACTTTTTGTTTTTTTGATAACTAATATAACTTGGCCTATTCCCCGTTTCCGGCTTAAACGTCGACTTCTGGGACACTGTATATTCTACGTGAGTTCGAGAGAGATGCAGCTGGCGACCGCCTCTATGTTTAAAGTTTTTTGTTTTTTGCATTGTTTTTCGCTTATCGCTCGAAAACTATTAACTTCATGAGAGCCATGTCTGATCGGGATATCCAAAAAAACATTGTCCGAAAAAAAATACAACTTTAGTAATTTAATTGAAAAAAATTGTTTAAGCAACATTAATGATGGTATTTCTTACCTGAAAGACAAATCCAGTGATTCTCACGCTTCTGATTGGAATGAAAAATAAGAAGGGGAGGAAAATCTCACACAAGTTGGCATATACTTGGACGAGTCTCAGATACCATTGTGGAATATGGTGTGAATACCATGATAGAGGTGATGGCAGAGGCATAGTTTCAAAATGATGGTCAAATGCTGGAAAAACAACAAAAAACATGATAGTATTAGTTAATACAATGTATGCATATCTACATTTAAAGAGAATCACCCAGTACACTGTGCCAGTGACAAAAACTTATTAAGAAAACCTAAGAGAATACTTCCTTATAAACATTTAATTTACACCAATATTTCGTTTTGGAGAAGTATTAATTTGAATACTATGTGAAATCTTCATCAGTTTATTTCCAAGACTGTGAATCTCGACTTCTCTCTGTTCCAATAAAAATTTTCTCTGGATATGAACTTTATTGTGTTCATAATGCATTCTACTGATGTTAAATGACCTTAAGGTTTTTGAACCTAACATAAAGCTTGATGGAAAAAGTACAAAAAACATCAGAAATCAAATATATTATTTATAACAAGAAACAGTATGTTACTTAAGAAACAAACACCATGCTTATCACTATAGTGATAAAAACATGATTAAACCATCCAAGGAATGTACATCAATTACAAATGCAATAATGCAGTGTCAACTGATTTCAGTCACATATGATGACCTCTTTGGTAGCCTCCCTGATATATAAAAATTGACTTTGAACACAATAAAGTTAACCTTAGTACGACTATTCTTATTTCTTATAACATAGAGGTATTCATTTCTGTAAATACAGCAGTTAAATGACAAATAAATGCCAAATTTGGAAGTATTGACAGTCCATTCAATATAAAATTTTCCACTAGATTAACTGATGACTTTCTGTGAGATTAGCAATTTAATAATTTCAAATTACCATGTATGAAAACAAAAATATAAATAATAAAAAGTATATGTGTCGGGAAATGAAAAAATAGAAGGGTTTTTGTATCTGCTGAATTAATTAGAAAAGAAGAAATGTACCAGTAAGACTCCACCATTTTGGGCATCCACTGTTAAACTTTGTCAAGCCAGTAGTTAGCAAGTATCTGAATAGAAACCATCTAACCATCCAAAAGGTGATGAAATCATTTGGAGACCCTTTGGTCCCTTTTCTACCTCCAGGAAGGAGTGGGGCAACCAAGATTGCAAGGAAGCCTGCCTCCAAAAGTAGCTCATCACTGGAAAGTATGAAATATAAGTGTCATATCAGACCCAATTTTAAACTGCCCTAAGATATTGTTTTTTAATCTTGATTGATATGACTGAATGTTGCTGTGATTTGTATTACTAGCTTAGTTAAAAGAAAAATAATAAGATCATATTTCAGATGTCCAGAAATCAAACAATAAAATACTTGCAGAAATTTAAATATAATAGCTTGCAGCTGCAAAATACAAGTACAAGAATAAACATGGTGTGTAATACAATATCATCTTCATGGTAACAGTCAAGATAAAACGTAACTGAAGCATGAAGTATATATGATACTGTTGTAGTTAGATTCAATGCTATGTTGGGTAATGCAGTATTCGTGCTATCAAGACAGGACACACATTTATTTTTTTTGTATGTGTAGCAAATGGTACATCATTTTTTTCAAGAAATAGAAGATCTAAATTATCATGATAGTAGCGGAATTTCAAGGTCACTCTTTAAAACTGATTCTAAAGATTGGTTGCAAGAAAAATAAATACATAAAAAAGGACCTCTAGGGCTGGAGGTTCTAAAAGACAAAAATACTTACAAACTTGCTGACACAAATGTCTGACCCACTTGGAACAATGAAAAATACAGAGACCATAGGGCTGCAAACAGCGGTATGGTGCAGAACCTTTGAGAAACCAACCTAAAATTTAGGCGAATTATAAAACTGTATATATGTGAATATTATGGTATTTGGGGTTTCAATGTTTCACCAGAAAAACCTTAGGTAAATGTATATATTGTAGAAGTAAACCATTCAAATAGTGAAAAATATCATGCTTTATTCAGAACATAACCATTAAGATTTAATCAAGATACATTTGAAAAGGAACAAAATGTATAATCCCCTGACAAGCTCCATTCCCGAATTTCACTACAAATATCAACTGATTTACAAATTCGCGATTTGACCTTGATCAATTGGTAGCAAATCAAGAGACAAAGGTTTGAATGTTGCTCAGGTTGAGTCGACAGATACCCTTTTGCTGGTGGCTCCAATATTTAATCTGGTAAGTATATTTTCATGAATTTGACTGACACATTACTGCAACTACATAAAAAATGATTCTTGAATACAAGCCACATATAAAAATATAATAATGTATCTGATTTTTTTTCATGTCATGTATGTTTTTGTTACTACCCTGGCATCACTTCTCTGAAGGTTTTCATGTCATTTGTTTGTAATACTCTCCTTCTTTTTATACTTTCCACTTTTTGTAGTTACAATAAAAAAATATAAACATCTAAAGCAATGGCTGCAACCTGCTATCAAAAAAATGTCTTGCTTCCAAACACGACTGTTACTCTAAGGGACTGTGAGCTCTCAATCTACATGATTCTCTTGACTGAAAACTTGTACCTTTAATAAAGACCTATTGAATTTGTTTAGTTAACTAGTATAATTAAGTATATTTTTCATAGTTTAAATGTCATGCCCCTCCCTACACATCATCCTCTGGCACCTATAAAACATGTCAAAATCAAAATAATTAAATGACCCTGTGAAATATTTATCACTTTCCATATAATTTTATAACATAATCAGTATGAAAACAAAATAAGCTGCTTTAGTTGATACTGTAAACCCAAATACTATAAATTCACCCATATAATTCAACCCATATAAGTCAATGATAATAATTTACCCTGTAAAGGCCAGAAAGGCCCCCAACAATGCCAGCACATCTAAAGCATAGCTAGTATCCAAACCTAAATAAGGTGCTAACCACAGCAAAGTTGGTTGGTAATGAATTTTTGCTGAAAGAGTTTTATGTTTGCTAAACTCCAACACTGACTTGGCAGGAAGAACTCCATTATCTCCATAAAGTCCTATAAAAATAAAAATTTCCTGCATTATATTTTGCAAAAAATGTAAATGTTATGAACATTAAGGCCTTCAAATATGCAAAATTTGTAGTATTATTGAGTCAGTACTATAATATATGAGAATGCCAAACATACAGGGTGCCTGTGCCAAACATACAGGGTGTCTGCAGACTTGGGCCTTTCCTTTACATGCAGAATAGATCTCGGAAAAATAAGTGGTTTTTCCTAGTCATAAGATAACCGACATATTAGTCCTCTGCAAAGTCAAACAAAACTAAACTAAATCTAATTTGTGCCTCTACCTCAATCAAATCAAAATTAAGAAGGCACATGTCAGTACTCAACCTGGTGCCTCCAGCATGAGTAAGCAAAACATTTATTTAGCAATTGCTTTGAAAGAAACAAAATGGCACTCGTACAGGAATATCAAACTAGTTGATATGATTTTAATTTATAGTGTCTTCTAAATGCTACAGAGGCTTCGTAAGTATATGCAGATTGCTTTTTTGGTGGCACACAGATTGTTTACCTTGTGCAAAGGACTACTGATACAGGTCATTTGTAGGAATGTCTAGGTAGGCTCAGTGGCAGACCTAGACAACCCCAAAGGTGCAAGCTGAGGAAGGACTATTGAATCTAGCAGAAAAAGTCCTTCAACAATCACTAGAAAGGTGGCTAGACAAGTGCAAGTCTCCTAGACTAAAGTTTGGCAAATGCTGCATGTTTATGGACTGTACCCTTTTCTTAGAGCCCTCCAAGCTAAGGGTTTATCTACAAAAATGTATTTTTGTGAGTGGTTGTTGCAGTCCATATTAGTCACAGAAAACCCAACCTTCACATGTAACGTGGTGAATAACTTTCAAAATACTAATCCTCATATAGTACATCAGACATATTTTCAACAAATATTTTCATTGATTGATTTGGGCTGGCTTGGTAAATGGTATGATTATTTGACCTTTTATTCTCATGAATCGGCTGGTTGGTTTACAATACCTAGAGTTTCTGCAAAACATTTTACCAACAATGACAACTTTCAACAGTACTGCAAATAAACAGCTTTTAAATTTTTTTTTTTTTACTTTTTGCTACTGTTTCACCATAAATTAGTTTTGTTATTTCAAGTGCAGTTGATTCTGAAAAGGAAAGTCCTAACTTTCAGAATACTCTGTATATCCATCAGCATTTATGTGGAATTTATAAAAGCTTTATAAGGTTGCCAAATAAAAAAAATAGATGAACAGATGCTTCATTTATTAGGACTATCATCGAAACAGATATCCTAGCAAATTTTTTGTGAGATAAATTAATTTTCAAATAAGTTATAGAGCCACGCATAATGGAAAACCATATAGCTAGTGTTGATCTATCTACGAAAGATATTAAACCAAAAACAATATATTTCAAGAAATGAGGAGCTTAACTTTTATTCAGTAGAATCGGTCAAGCTCATATAGAGGACCAATGCCAGACCACCAAGGTGGTGTGGGAGATGACATAGCTGTGCATGCAGCTTGCCTTCTGCTACTGTTAGTTTGGCATTCTGCTATCTGATCATGTGGAGTATGCATGCCTGTTTGGGTTCAGTTTCTTTCTTGGATAGATGGACTATAGTAACCTCATACCCATATCTAAACTCTGATGTATAAAATGTATTGTAACATGATAGTGTATATTAGCTACAATGTTTTCTGACTATTCTGGACCAAAAAATAACTATACCAAGCAACAATGTATAATAAACTTATAGATTCCTCATAGTGTCTACTAAGCTAAGCTACTCTAAAGAATAAATAGGCTATACAAGAAGAAAAATTACATATAGAGGCAGTTTGGTAGGTACTTTTATTGAAACTTTGTACTATCAGGTGTCCATGATCAATTGAAAATATTCAAAACAAACAAAACAAAAAGGCCTAAATAAAAAATAGATATAGGTATGTTAAATTCTTAGTAGCCACCTCATCATTTGAACTTCAGTTGTATGCTAACATAAGGTCAAGAATTAGAAATCGGAAAAAATACAGTAATCAGTAGTGACTGATTACTGTTTTCTGTTGACCCATGAAAACACATTTCATTTGTAGCAATAAATATTCAACCTACAGGTTTACGATAATGAATGAAAAATGAGCAATACTTAATAACTGCGATGATATAAACCAAAACGAGGTATTGCTTAGCTTACCTGGTATCTGGATATAAAATGATAAAAACGCCGATAAGTAGACGATGCAAAAAGCCCTTAAAAATAAATTTCTAGTGTATCGCAAATTCATATTCGCAGCTGATCTTGAGAACACAATCTGGAATCTTTTCAATGACGGTCACCACCGTTGATGAGCGAGTTGATTAAAAAAAACCTAACGGTACAAGAACATCATCACACAAACGCGTAAAAATTCCGAACCGCATTTGAGGCCGGTCGCTCTTGAGATTCTAGCGGAATTGCCGCCGTCACCAATTTTTGCGCTTGGATCAACGAAGTCGGAGGTGAAGAGCGGAAGTTTTACCCTCACCGAGATTAATTAACGCAACCGATGAGCAGCCAAACGAGCTCAAAAATTGAAGAAAATGAAAATTACAAATTATAGCTAGCACAGAACAGACAAACTATTAGCGAGAGACAACGCCTGTTTGTCAATATTGACACTTCGGATCTAGATGTCACGTGGTACAATTGCAAAAAAGGCGTGGTTTCACGACAATTCAACCTATGACTACCTCATTTAATCACATCTTGTGTTCCTCAGACTAAAAATATAAATAGACTTACCATTCTTACGGCACTGTAATGCATGAAGACAAGCAAACCCAATTCAAAACAAATACAAACAATAAGCTGTGTATGTGCAGACCACAGCTGATTCCACCAGTGGCGTAGGTGCTTTTTTTGTAATGGTGTTCTGGTTAATACACCCAGTATCACCTTCCATGGCAGTGAAAAGAATAAACACAGAGAAGTAAACAAGGTTTTATTATTGGAACTTAATTATCAGGTTTATTGTTTCATAATACCTAGTACAAAGGTATATAAACAAGAGAGAGAGTATTATGTAAATAATAAGAATTGAGTAGAAACTTTCCTGTCCAGAGTATGAATACAAAAAAAATAGTAAGAAAATGATAGTAACCATGATCAAAAGTTGTATATAAAAAAATATACAAACAAACAGAAAAAGAATAAATAATTGACGCATCAATTTAGATATTCTGTCTTGATATTGAAGGCACAAAAAAACTATTCATTCCTTAAGAAAGATCTTAGCTTAAATAATTCCCTAAAGTATTTAAAAAGTTTGTATCATAAATTCAACTCATTCGTTTTATTTAGGCAAGCAAAGACACAGATTTGGTTCAAACGATCTGACAGAATATGCTCTCTCAATGGATTGTATAATGGACATTCCAGGAGGAGATGTCCTAAAGATTCGGTCTTTCGAGTAGTACATATTGTACAATAGTCTGTTTGGTCAACCCTGTATGAAATATTGTTTAGGAAGATTTTGAGACTACATTTATTGTGGAGCTTAAGTTGGATTATAAATCGTTTTATACATAACGGTATACTTGGGGATTTAGCGTACTCTGTAGACTCTGATAGCCATTTTAGCCATTTAGCGCGTCAAAAAGTTCTTGTATTGATATATGCTGATCCAGATATGGATGTAAAACATCTAAAAAGCTAAAGTCAACATTGGGGGTAGGTTTATACATTATTTTATAGTAGTCAATCCATGTTTGGAGATTTAGTGCATATTTCAGTAAAACAATTCCCTTGGACTTGTCACTCTCCCTAAGTCATTATTTATAATTCATTTTATAATTTTGCTTTTTATTTTTTTGTAATTATCAGGTTTTATTGATTTTGAAATAATATACTTTTTGTGAGTAATGATCGTACACGTTTTGAAGGGGCATTCAAGTTAGAGGTATAATGGTTCAACTTAATGGTAAAATATTGTTCTAAAACTCGTTTACAGAGCAATGGAAAATGATTACTTAAAGGTTCATCTTCGAATACATGGTCCTTAAGCACATTTCCGAATCCAAGAGGTAAATTTTGCAATGTATAATTTGTTAATATTTGTGAAACTCTTGTCATATTTTTTTTTGCCAACTTCTAACCTTTCCTTATATAACCTAAAGCAATGTTCTTCATATTTACACACATTTATTACAAAAGCGGAGGCTTTAACTAATTTTCCATACGTTTTTCTTATTTGTAATTTCGATATAGACTCTCCTGAAGTTTCTAACAAATCTAAACACCTCTGGCATTTTATAGACTTTTTTAGCCTCTTCACAAAAAAACCTGCAACATATGCAACAACATCTTCCAAATACAGTTTAAGCTACCAAGGACTTATTCGAAGAAAGTTTTTAAATTGTATAAAATCTTCATCTTCCTCTATACTGTTTGATGATGAGGTCATATCCTCACTAATTTTGATCTCTAAAGATGATGATGAACAGTGCAAAATGGATGTGCTATCTAAGCTCACGACATTGGATGCTTCATTGCCACTTATTTCAGTATGAAGTAATAATTTTTTTAAAATATTCTGAAACTGCTTTAGGTAGGATTATTGCTGTATCCTCCTTTGCTTCTTATACAACTGAAAAAAAATTCCAAATGATCTTGAGATAACTTATATGTGAGAAGGTACTTCAGCTCTTTGGTTTCTTTGACTCTATATTCATACAGGCTGTTTATTGAAATTATGAATCCCCAAAATCCTAATTTTCTTCTAGAAAGTATAACTCTAGTGTCTCCTAATTTTAACGATTTCAAATAATCCTTCGCTTCTTCTAAGAAATTGAAATATTGTTCAGTAGCAGGTGACAACGGTTTCTCATAAGGTTTTTTGACATCCTATTCCTTGAATTAAAAACATCAAATAAATTGGTTACTGTTCTACAAAAATATGCTGTAGCTTCTGAATCCTTGAAGTCAGCCATAGCCAGTTCAAAAAGTCCAATGCTTCTGCAACACTCTTGCTCAAAGTCTGGACGGCAAGTTTAACTTTCATCTTTTCATTCACCCATTGGAGATTCTTCTTGTTTTTTCTTATCACTAGGAAACCTGAAAAATCAAAAACGTGTCTAACAGAAGAGTATTTTTTGAAAATCACCACACATACAGTGTAAAAACAACCAATAACTATAAAATGTCTATTTCTTAATACTAAAAATCACAACGCATCCCCATGCGCTACGCCCTTGTCATCCTCTAACCTCTAACTCACCTGTGGAAGGTTGCCTCAGTTTTTTCACTGCTAACTCCACAAAGAATGCACTTCCGACGTCCCATTGTCTTTGAAAATTGTCTATCAATGATAACAATGCTATAATTGCCGCTAAAACAACCTGAAAACATTTTTGAATACTCGCAACAAATTCACTGTGCACAACAACAAACACCAGATGTTTGTAAATTCTGTGTACGCATCCACCACTTGCCGTTGAACACCGTTGCCACGTTCGGCAAAAAGTCGGTAGAAGTGTGCTACTTTCGAATGAGAGCAAGTTTCGTCCAAGGTGGAACAAATCCAGTCAAACAACTGACTGGGCAAAATATTATATGTAATGTTCGCTATGCATTACCCAAAATGAACCTGCATCCGTTTTGAATTGAATTTACGGCGTGTCGGCCACCTCTGTGACCGTTTTTGCGAGTATAAACAAATATGAAAAGAAATAATAAATTTTTAAAATTTAAAATGACGTTGACAACTGCCTAGGAGCAGTTGTTTGATCGACCCACGATCGACCGGAGCGTCCACACCTTATTTAAGTCCACCTTCATTTCGGGCGGAGTGCACACCAATATCTCATTCCATTTTCAATAGATTTTTCAGTATGGAGTAGTGGCAGCGTCGCATAAATTTGTTTACCGTAAATAAACTTATGTTGGCGACGATATTTTGTAGGGAATTATTTGTCTATTTATATTTTTAGTCTGAGTTGTGTTCTACTTGACCAGTCCTCTGTATCTAGTTAACCACGCCCTTCTTTCCAATGGTACATACGTCATACTCAACACAAGCGTATTATTGGTTGCATAAGCGGTGCAATAGAATTTAAACATTTGAAATTTAAAATAGGTTACATACCATTTTGTCATTTTAACAAATATTTGTGCACAAATCCATGTATTATTATTGAGCAACGTAGGGTTTTCCGCTACCCTAGTATTAGTTTTTCGAATCATGTAAGTACTTTATTCCATTAGGTGCTTTCAAGTAGTGTTTGATTGATATGCTCCCAAACTGCTGTAGAAAATGTGCATGGGAATATAACGTACAGTGGAACGATATTGGTGCTGAACAGTACTAAGTTACAGTAACTCCATACTGGTAAACAGCTCATATATACAGGCTTTTGAGGCTGTAATTATGCGATTACTTTGAATTTTTATAGCTATCGTATATGTTGACTTGAAATTTCAGGCTAAGTAGATTCAAGCATATCCGTCAACCCACCACATTATCAGGACGTTTATATCATTCTTCAGATAATATTATTTGTGATTCGTGAATAGCTTGAAGATATTAAAAATGGTATTTGGAAGAATAACTTGTGACGAACTGAAAGAGATGTTAGACAATATGCCACCAAATACCACAATAATTGACGTTAGAGAGACTTCAGAGGTAGAACATACGGGAGTTATTGGTCCAAGTTTGAACATACCATGTAAGTATTTTTTTGCTCATATTTTCTTAGAAAGTCATAAAACATTTCCAGAGTACTCAGTTATAACAGGGCCTCATACTTGCTCTTAAATAGCATAATTATTTATATTTTTATATATTTTCTAGTGAGTGATTTGAAAAATGCAATGAAGAAAACGCGTGAAAAAATCTTCAGGAAAAAATTTGGTAGAGAGAAACCGGACCAAAAACACCTGATAATATTTTATTGTCTCGGTGAAACCAGAGCAGAAAGAGGAGCCGATATGTTTCATTCTTGGGGATACAAAAAGTAAGATTTATGTGTACGAAACGCAACTCCCGGTCGATATGAGCAGTTCTCGTATAAGTTCTGTCCGGCAGCTTACTCTCACTTCGGCTACCAATGACGACGTGCATCCCATGTACGACTAAGTACGCAGCGTCAACTACGCTACACGATTACCCACTCAATAGTTAGCGTAACTTTTGGGAAGTCGCTTGCTGTGTTCAGTATTAACCATGCCGAGGTTTTGCGTTAATTTTTCCCAATACTCGCTGGGTGCACAATGACAGCGTCACCTAGCGGATCGGGCTGAAATATTTGAGCTTGATATTGTCTTTTTCACGAGTATCCATTACGGTAGAATGGTAGCTGATTATTTGGTGTGCCACGCCTTTTTTATAAATAAATGAAATGGTGGTGTGTTTCCTTCTTTTTTTTAATTAATAAAACTCGATAAATAAAATCAAATGGTCAGTCAGTGCAAAACAGCTGTCTAGTGGTCTGCAAATCTAGCTCAATAAAGCGGAGACTAGGGGGCGTTAAGAGTAGCAGTGGCTCATGACGGATTAAGCCATAAATCCCCGAAATTTCAGTGGGAACTTATTTTGCTTGACCACCCACTCAAGAGAAAAGAATCTAGTAGCAATACCGTCAACTAATTAATTGTACAGAGAGCCACATAAAACTCAGGATATTTAAAACAATCAGAATATATTAACCAATTAATTAACCCATACGTTCCACAATAATATGTTCCACTACTGCAGTGTAAATTAAAAAAAGATATTATTTAAAATTGCAGCACAAGAAAATGAGTAAAATGTGATAATATCCCTGCTAATCGTTTACCGTGGTATATGAACGCGATAGGTTTTACAAATGTTATAGCGCCAGAAGAATACTTGATATAAATAATTTACAAAAAAAAAATCAATAATGCCGGACCAGCACCTTGAAGTTTTATATCTAATTAAAAAGAAAACTAAAACCTAAACTTATCTGGATTGTAAACTTTTTTCGGACATACCTCTAGACACATCCGAGATCCGAGATGACCTCAACTCACAAAAGCTCAGGCTTTTTCGTTAAAACTAGTGGCTAATAGTGGACAGTGTCGAAAGGAACTTTACGAAGCATGGGCTGCTTGCCTCGCACTCAAAATTTACGCTGCCGGAGAAAAAATCCTGTTTACATCAGGGTTTTTTCTCAAGAAAAAAGGGATGGTTCTTCAGAAAAATCGGCTACAAAACAAGCTACAACGCTGGGGGAGTACGGAACTTGGTTTTCCTCATTGCCTTCCCACGCTGAAGAGGTTAAAATCGCATAAAAATGGACGGAGTAGCATCAAACAACAACCAAAGCGAACTACTAAAGGTAAGGTACGTAAAAAAACCGGCACTATTCCGTGAACTGGTGATTGGGGCCCAGAATCCCAAAATTTGGAAACCAAATGAAGGGCCGATACACCTTCTTAACCAAGGCTTCCGCAGGAAATGACCGACACGGTGTTATTTCGAAATTTCCCATATCAAACGACGCATAATTCTGACGGATCCGTCAAGGCCAGGTCACAGATGCCAGGTAGAGAGAGCCGTACATTGTTTTGTTTTTTTGTACGCTACAGATTCATTTTGAACTTGCTACCAACTCTTTTATTTAGAAAACTTCATTTGCATACAAAACAAAAGACGCTCAAGTAAGTTTTACTAATTTTGCGCTCGATTCATTGTTTCCAACGGTTCCAGGCTAATACACAGATGTCACTTGTTGATCAGATGTTTACCTGGGTTGACGTCAAAACGTGATGGGTACTCGTGAAATAGGGTAGTAG